GGACTGGACTTAGGGCAATTCCCTCGGCCTCCTCTTTGCTCCGTTGATACTCTGGGGAAGTTGTCTCCAGCCTGAAGCGAGATCTTACCTCAACTCTCAGCATCGTCAGGATGTTAAGCGGCTTCTTCCTTCTGAAGGTGCTTCTTGCTCTTGGGTCTCTGGCAGCCTGGGTGACTGCAGCTGCGTATGGTGAGCTATCACACGGGATACTGTGCTAACACTAACAGAGTGTCTGGGGAAAAGCCATCTCCTCATTTGAGAGAGAGGTTCCTCATTTGTGGAGATGATCATCTCCGTAAGCCAGGACTGGATGAATAAATTCACAGGACAGCTAGGGTAAGTCGTCTTCTTTCTTCTTCTTCTTTCTTCTTCTTCTTCTTTAGGGTAAGTCTTCTTGGCTTTCTATACCCTCTTTAGATAAGGAGATGGGACCGAGTAGGGGGTCCAGCTATTCTCTGGAGACAGAGCTTATGAAATGAGAACAGGATCATCCCAGTTTTCCTCCCTATGCTGGCAGCATGGCTGTTTCTTTAGTAATGGGGAGCTGGGTGTTCATAGTTGTATGGCAGAGGAGAAGGTAGTTGCAGTGATATTTTGGGGTAAGGATGCTTGAAAATGCTTGAAGTACACTTGACCTCTATTTCCTATTTCTCAAGGCCTAGCCTATTAGCCTAACCTCCCATGGTATCTTTTGCAGTGAAAGAAGGAGAATGCCCCCTTGATAAGAATCCATGCAAAGAGCTATGCCAGGGTGATGAGTCATGCCCAGCTGGGCAGAAGTGTTGCAGCACAGGCTGTGGACGGGTCTGCCAAGGAGACATTCCCAAGGGTATGTTGGCCAGAGAGGTAAAATGCTGTGCTTTCTGGCCTTGCCTCTGGGATGGACAGAACCGGAGGCCATCCTACCTCTTGGATTGGCTCTTGAAATCTAGCTTCCCTGTAGTTACTCTTTACTTTTGGGGGTCTCTACTCAGCACCCTTAGTTCTTTGCGGTCAGGAAAGAGTGTACCAGTGTTTGCT